TGGTGGTCATTTCCTTTCTTCCCCTGAGGTGTGCCTCTTATCCAAGAGGTAACTCAGTTTTTCCTGTAACATGTGGAACGATGCAGCTCTGCCATAGGCTTGCATTCCTACGCAGCTGGCTATTTGCAACATAAAAGTACATAAGTAAAGAAGATTACTTCCATCTTTTAAAGCAAGTTTGGTAACCCCTATTTTTACTAACATAGGTTTTTTTGGGGGAAGGACCTATATTTTTATATTTTACCTATATTTTTTATATTTTCATATTTTTTCCTTTTTATAGCTATATTGTGATACAATTGACATAAAAAGACCCTGTGCATATTTGAAGTATCTGATGAGCTTGGACATATGCAGACACCCTTGATGCCATCACCACAATCAAAGTAATGAACATGTCTGCTACCTTCCACCATTTCCCTGAGGGCCCAGCTGTGGTGGCAAAGTGGTAACACAATACTCTGTGATGCTGGAAATCATAAGGAGGATTAGGGTTTGGCTCCTGGATTGACTTGTACCTACTGGGTGCACCTGTGCTTGTGATCCTGGATGGTTGAAAGGCTGGGGATGGGGGTTGTCATGAGACCCTGTTGAGGGTGTTTGTCTTTCTCTATCCTTCATCGTCTCTCTGTCTCTATGTCTCTTGCACCAGAGGATGGCTTCACAGTGGTTGTGCCTTGGTGGCTCTGAGTCCATAAATGAATAAATAAGCTTAAAAAAATGTCCTGGGACCAGCAGATGGTGTAATTCTTACATTTCTGGACTCACCCATAGTTGACCATGGTTCAAGTCTCAGACCCAGCAGCTTGAAACTCACGCCAGTTGCATATATGTGTGTGCTCAAAATCCCAAGACGAGAATGCAGAAGAAGAGACTGTGGCATGGTCAGCCTCACCGGAAGGTAATTTCTCACTTTCTGTCTCTCTCACACACACCCCATAGCAAAAATATCTCTCTTAAAAAAATGAAGAATTTCCCTGTGTCTCATCTTCGTCCCACCTCTCTTCCCCATTAGTCCATAGCTCCCAGCCCACGCTATCAGTCCATCTCCACCAGCACCGAGAGAGCTCTGCAAATGGAATGTTCCCTAGTCTTGTTACAAAATCACTTCACCAGCTCTTTTGTGAAGGTTATGTTCTTCATGTCAAGAGAAGTCAAAGGAGGTGACATTCTCAAGAGAGGTTATAATGAAGAGCACTACAGAGAAGCTGTAGGAAGGGGACCAGGAAGAGGGCACTGGATTGGTCAGGGAGGTGACCCTGACAGCAGTGTCAGCAGGATGGTGGGGGTGGCAGATTGGAAGGCAAGGGATTAAGAACTGAGCAGGTGTTAAGGAGGAGGAAAATGTTTTCCTGCTTGTCCTAGGTGCCAATCTCTCCGCCATTCACTATTTAAGATGCAGGTCAGGAGGAATACAGATTTGGATAGTTCAGGGGGAAGGAGAAGGCAGTGGCAAGGCCGAAGAGAGAGGACTAGAGAAAAAGTGTGAATAAGGTCATTCCTCAGGGGCTACTTGAGAAGAAAGGGCAATTAACTGTGCGGGATAGTGGGATCACACCTGCCTCCCTCACAACTCAGGCTATCTCGTAGCTTATGTAACAGATGGAATTTCAAAAGGCAGCAGAATTTCCCAGCCAGGACTGGAGGTTTCTGGGTGAAAGTCATAGGACAAGTACACCAGTGAATGACTCTCATTCATACTTGAATTGCTTCTTTAAAGACCTGAATGAGGATGTGAGATTCTGGAACTAAAGGGACCTTTGAACATTACCTCATCTTTCCCCACATATAGGATTGGAAATTGAGGTTCTAAAGGTAAAGATAAAAACTGACTCTCACTGTTTTACTGTGTAATCCAAGAGAGCAAATTTAGAACTCTTTCAAATACCAGATCCAGAACCTTCCTCAACAATGGCATTGGGATACCAACATGTTGCAAAATAAAACATGATAGGGTGTTATCAAGGGCATTATTTAAATTGCTTCTCATTAAAAATCAATGAAGAGAGACTTATCAGTCTTATCCATGGGAAAATGGAGGCTTGGTGAGGTTAGGTGACTAGTCAGACAGCTAGTAAGCGGCAACAGCAGAAATTAAAGCACCTTTTGACTTCAAGTCCGATTGGTCTTTTCACTATAAGACAGCTGTCTCTGGCTTTGCGAGATCCTGTAAGACACTAATGCTTTCAGAATTAAACACGCTTCTCAGAATTACATCCAAATCAAGCATCCTTCTCCAAAAACAACATAGAGAGATTGTGAGGGTAGCCTGGGAACACTGTGTTCAGAGGAGAAATCCTACCAGCGAGATCTGCTCAGAGAACTGGAGACTCTTCTGACTGGCTACCTCACCTTGACACCAGCCTGCAAGAGTTAGGGTTTCCTGTGGCTTGCCCTTTTGTGGCTATTAGCTGTGTTTCAGATACTCTGGTTGCTTAAAGCCTTATTAGAACTAAGGAAAACATGACCAATTGCTTTAAATTCCTACCATTAGTGTCTTTAAACAATGCATCCTAATTAAAAAAGAAAAAGAAGGCAAATCTTTAGATAACACTGTCAAAATATATAATTATTGGCCAGTCCTGTAATGTAGTAGCTAAGTGCTGTCCAGAGGAATCTGGATCCCACATGACCGACCAGTGTTCAAATCCTGCCCCAGCAGCTTGAGAAACACACCAGGCATGCACTTGTGTGTCCAGGATCCTGATGGGGTGCAGAATTGGAGGAAAAAAGAATTGTGGCATGATCAGGTTCCATCGGGGGTGGGGGGAGAATGTTCTCCCTCATGAACACATATACACCCTCTGGCATAAAATAAAAAAGTAGGGGCCAGCAGATGGCATAGTGGTTAGATTGCTGGACTCTAGTGTAGTTGACTATGGTTTGAGTCCCTGACTCAGCAGCTTAAAATTCACACTGGGCACGTGTGCGTATGAGCCCAGATCCTGAGAAAATGGAGGAGAAGGGATTGCAGTATGGCCATCCCCCCTGGGGGTATACTTCGCGCTTTCAGTCTTTCTGTCTCTCTGGTGAGCACATGTGCCCTATAGCAAAAAGCTCTTAAAAAATTTAAAAGTGTATGTGTATATATATACACACACACATATATATACACACATATGTATATATATTTATGTCATTAATTTCTTCATGGTAATATATTAACTAAGAATGGATCTTGAGAATCATAATGCTGGGATTCAAATTTTTCATTATTTAAGTTATGTGAATTTGGACAAATTGCTTAATCTTCCTGAGCCCCAGTTTTCTCATCTGTAAAATGGGGATAACAGTATCCAACCAATGGAGTTCTTGTGGCAATTAAGTGAGTCAATGAATGCAGAGTACTGTTTGAGAGTGACATGAGAGGAGAAAGGTGAGACTGGTTAGGGCCATGTCAATAGATGATCCTGAAGGGACCAGCAGCTGATGTAATGCTATGTTGCTGGACTCCCATGTAGTTGACCACGGTTCAAGTCCCAGACCCCGTGGCTTATACTCACACTGGTGTGTATGTATGCATACCCAAGATCCTGGGAGGAGAATGGAGGAGAAGGGATTGTGGCGTGGCCATCTCCCCCAGGGGTGATTTTTGACTTCTTGCTTTCTGTCTCTTTGTCTCTCTCTGTCTTTCTGGCAAGCGCATGCACCCTATAGCGGAAAAAAAAAAAAAAAAACACCAAAAAACAAAACAAAACAAAAAACAACACCTCTTCAAAAAGAAAACAAAATTCACAGGTTTACTAGAAAGGTTGTTTGGGGTAGGGCTGCAAAGCCCTCAAGCCTGACCGAGATGGGGCTAGATAGAACCAGTTTGAGATTGCCCATCAAGTTAGGATGGTGATGAAATTTGCACCTGGAACTGCTAATGTCAAGCTGGAATACGTTTACAGAGCTCAGCAGAGAGCCAGTGACACAGCGAGCATGCACTCACACAATCATTTATTCAGAAAGTATTCATTGAGGGCCTACTACACATTTGGGAGACGTCAAACGCAGGGGAACACAACAAATCCTGTGCATGGTGTAGATTATATTATCGTGGGTGTGAATAGACAACAAACAAATATATACCGTCAATTAGAGATGCATGCTCTGAGGAAAAGCAGGTGCAGGATAAAGGAACAATGGCTGGGTGGCATCTGGATGGCTACCTGGACAGACGAAGAAAACTTCTCAGATGTGGTGATATTTGACCAGACACCTAGTGAAGTGAATGAGTAACATATGAGAATATGAAAGGGAGGCAGTATTCTGTACAGAGGAAACAAATGCAAAGAAAGGCTCTAGGAGGTCCCCTTACCTCACTAGGGCAGGGTGAACCAGTAATGGGGATGGACAGGGGAGGTGGCCAGAGGCCAGATGGTTTAGTCTTGTGAATTAGGGTAAGTACTTTGAGATTGATTTATTTATTGATTGATGGATTGACTGAGAGGTTTTTGCCTTAGCACATGTGCACTCCCTGGGAATGGCCAGACCATTGTCCCTTCTCCATTCTCCTCCCAAGATCTTGGCACGCATGCGCACACATGCTCACTGTTGAGTTTCAAGCCACTGGGTCGGGGACTCAACCGCGGTCAGTCACGTGGGAGTCCAGTGACATAACCTCTACGCCATCTGCTGGCCCCAGGACTTCAGGTTGTAAACGCCAGGTGTTATGACGAAGGCAATTTTATTCCTTATTTTTGCTGAGTGTTAGCTCTATTATCCTTTTTTTCCCTCCATATTCCTTCACTCTCTCAAACCAAAAGAATGCATTGAATGTCTGCTCTTCATTTGACAAAGAGCTTGTGAAGAAGAGCCTGTTCCAAGCACGGGGATAAAAAGTTTGTTCTCCCAGATGAAAATCTACCTTTTGGGAAGAAGCGAGGGGGACAGCAGCCATAGCTTCGAAGGATACACCCAATCATCCCTGGACAGAAACAAGGTTTCCACAACCAGGAGAGGGGCGGCGTCACTTCCGGTGGCCCCGGGGCATGACGGGAAGGGTCAGACTGAGGGAAAGAAAGGCCGGAAGTGGCGGCGCGCTGATTGGGGCCAGCCGGGAGACACGCTGTGGCCCGGCCAGGTAGTGTGTACTTGCGGGTGTGAGCGTGAGGGTGTGGCCGCCCCTGAACTCCCCCGGCCGTGCCGTTCTAGGGAGAAACTGGGGGAGGAGGGCGTGGTGAGGAGGGTGTGAAGCTGGGCACGGAGAGGGAGTTTGAAGGCCGTCCTGGCCTGGAACGGAAGGGAAAATGTGGACCGTTCTGAAGTCACCCAATCCCGTTTGGAGATTTTCATCGCATATATAGCCGCGCTCTGTTGTGTGTGTGTATGTCCCTTTACATATGTGTGTGGATTCCCATCGACTCAAGTTTTGGTCAGTTGGATTAGTCTTCAGATTATTAGAAAAATCTATGATTTAGCTGCTCCAAAGGGAGCTGCCATCCTTGGGAGTCCTTTTTTTTTTTTTTTTTTGGAGAGGTTTTTCGCCATAGGGCGCGTGCGCTCGCCAGACAGAGAGAGACAGAGAGACAGAAAGTGAGAAATCACCCCCCAGGGGGGATGGTCACACCACAATCCCTTCTCCTCCATTCTCCTCTCGGGATCTTGGGCACGCACACACACGCGCCTGGCGTGAGTTTTAAGCCACCGGGTCCGGGACACGAACTGCGGTCGACTACGTGGGAGTCCAGGGACATAGCCATTACGCTAACTGCTGGTTCCCGATCCTCTTACGTTTCTAACAGAATTTCTCTTTATTTGAGCCCTCACACCGTGCGGTATCTGAGAGCCACAAGCCACGGCTTCTGCCAGGAGCTGAGCACATAGTCGCCCTTGTGTGAAGGTCAGGGAATCCAAGAACATCCCTGTTTTGGGTGCGTTCCCCAAGGCGGGTATTTGGCTCCTTCATCACGGAGAGTCCTTTTTTTTGCCCTGTGGCCTCCGGAAGCAGCGTCTTGGTGGACCTTGGAGCCATCGTGGAGAAATCAGGCTGGTAAATTCCATCCTTAAGTAGGGTTCTTTCCATCTGCCCACGGCTGATTCTTCAGCTTCCCACTTAGGAAAATGTGACCCAGGGGTGTCTGCTGTGAAGGTGCCTTGGGACACTGATATGTGTAACATGTGCCCAAACCTCTGCCACAGCCAGGAGGTGGAATTTAAATTTGCTCCCTGACAGCTGCTGTGTGTTAATCCTTGGAATGTTAATCCTTACCCAAAGCTTGGATGGAAGGCACCAGCTTTTAGCAGCTGTGCTTATGGTCCTTCTCATCCATCAAATGACCCTCTCTTTTTCACTTTTCTTCTGTCTGGTATATCCATGTCTCTGATGAGAAGTGGACATGAAGTATTCTTAAGAAGCAGGTTTACTTTATTTATTTATTTTTTAAAAAGAGCCCTGAAAACAATCCCAAAAGTGATACATTGAGACATATAATCACACATACTGAAGCAAACTTTTAAATCACTCCTAAACTTGGCCAACACTTGTGCTTTTAGCCACTGCAATAGGTGTGTAGTGGTATCCAGTTGAGTTTTTTTTTTTTTTTAGTAATTACTTATTTAATTTTATTTATTCATTCATTTATTTTAATTTGACCAGAGAGAGATACACAGAGAGAAAGAGAGAGGGAAAGTGAGAAAGCAAGCCAACAGGTCCGGTATTTGAACCACAGTCAACTATGTGGGAATGTCCAGCACCTTGATCACCACCGCACCTGCTGGTCCCCTCCAGTTGAGTTTTAATTAGTGTTTTCCTGATGACTCATATGTTGGGCAGTTTTTCATGTGCTTGTTTATCATCTCTACTTCTTTTTTTTTTTTATTTTACTTAGCTTTATTTATTTTATTTTAAATTTTGACCAGAGAGGGACAGAGGGAGAGAGAGAGAAGGAAAGTGGAAAGTGAGAATGCAAACCACCAGGCCTGGGACTTGAACCACAGGTGGCCATGTGGGAGTCCAGAGCCCTTAACCACCATGCCACCACCCCCCCTTTTTTTTTTTTTTTTTTTTTTTTTTTTTTAAGAGAGAGATTTGCTATAGGGCATGTGTGCTTGCTGGAGAGGCAGAGAGATAGAAAACAAGAAATTACCACCCCCCCCCTCCAGGAGGGGGATATGGCCACACCACGATCCCTTCTCCTCCAGCCTCCTCTTGGGATTTTGAGCGCACGCGCAGACACATACACACACACACACACACACCATGTGAGTTTCAAGCCACAGGGTCTGGGACTCGAACTGCAGTTGGCCATGTGGGAATCCAGCAATATAACCATTATGCCATCTGCTGGTCCCTCATCTCTACATATTTAGTAAAATGCCTGTATTTCTTTCTTTAAAAAAATTGGCAGGCCAACCAGTGGCATGGTGGTTAAGGCAGCTGGGTCCCCTGTGGCTGACTTTACAGTTTGAGTCCTGGACCCATGAAAAACATGCTGGGAGTATATGTGTGTCCAGAATCCCAAGAGGAAAGTAGAGAAGAAGGAATTGTGGTATGGCCATCCTCTCAGGAGGTGATTTTTCTTACTTTTGTTTCTCTTTCTGGTGAGTGCATGCATTCTATGGCAGAAGCTAGTAACAAAAAAATGGCTTTTTTTTGGTTTTAGAGTTTTGGAATTTTTTTGTTTGTTTTCTGTTTTTTAAATTTTTGCCATAAGTGTGTGCATTTGCCAGAGAGAGAGAATGAAAGGGCAAGTGAGAAATCACCCTCCAGGGGGGGATGGCCACACTGCAGTTCCTTCTCTTCCATTCTTCTGGGGTTTTGGGGCATGTACATGCGCATGGCTTGATTTTCAAGCCATCAGGTCTGGGAATTGAACCTAGGTCAGCCATGTGGCAATCCAACACTTTAACCACTATGCCACCCCCTGGTTACAGATTTCTTTCTCTTAAAAAAATTTTTGCCAAAGGGTATGTGCACTTGCGAGAGAGAGAGGGAGAGAGAGAGAGAGAGAGAGAGAGAGAAAGAAAGTATGAAAGTACCCCCTTATGGGGCAGGGTCATGCAGTGTGATCCCTTCTTCATACACTCATGTCTGATGTGTCTCTCAAGCCAGGGGGTCCAGGACTCAAACCACAAAGTTGTCCATGTGGAATCCAGCCACCTTAACCATTGTGCCACAGGCTGGCCCTAATTTCCCTTTTTAAAATTATTATTATTTTTACTTGTTAGATGGCACCTGTGGTTGCTGGAGAGAGAAGGAATGTGAGAAAGCACCCATCATGGGGAATGGTTAGGCTGTGATCCCTTCTCCATTTTTCCTTTTGGGATTTTGGGCATACATGCACATGTGCCTGGTGTGTTTCTCAAGCTGCTGGGTCTAGGTAGGACTCAAACCACACAGTCATATGGGATTCAGCCTCCTTAACCACCATGCCACTTCTGGACACTAGATTTCTTTATATGTTTTGGATATGAGTCTTTTATCAGGGATACACTTGGCAGTTGTTTCTCTTAGCCTATGACTTGTCTTTTCGTTTTCTTGAAGAGGAGATTTCAATTTTGATGAAGTCACATTTATCATATTTTCTTATGATGGCTCATGCTTTTAGTCTTGGACCTAAGAAATCTTGGTCTAAGCCAGGATCACAGACATTTAGTCTTTTTTTTTTTTTTTTTTTAGGTTTTTGCCAAAGGGCGCATGCCCTCACAGGAGAGAAAAAGAGAGAGACATTGAGAGGGAAAGTGAGAAATCACTCCCCCACAGGGGGAATGGCCACACTGCAGTCTTTTCTCCTCCATTCATCTCCTGAGATTTTGGGGATGTACACACATGTGCCTGGCATGATTTTTAAGCAGCTGGGTTTGGGACTCGAACTGTGGTGGACTATGTGGGAATTCAGCACTGTAACCACTGTCCTGTGTGCTGGCCTCACAGACCTTTACTCTTACATTGACTTCTAGAAGATTTTGTGACTCTCATTTTGATTTGTTTTTTCTTTGGTTCAATATTTTATTTAGGAAAGTATTTTGAATTTTTTTGCTTTAAAACTTTTGTTATGAATGTTAAAGATATTAAAGATCGTGGCCTGTAAAATTTATACTGTGAAAGATTGAGGCAGTAAGAGCGGAGAGACTGGGGAGAGTAGATATCAGAAAATGGAAGAAGGAATGTAAAAAGTGTGACCTTTGTCTGGACTGCTTTTTGACCCACTGTTTCCTCTTCCTCCAGGAAAAACACATCATGTTATACTCTACTAAAATTTCCTCATTTTTTTGTCTCTATTTTTATAAAAATAATTCATTCTTTCTATGAGCCAATTTCTCTGAAAATCCTGCCATCAGTATATCCAGAATCTGTCTACTTCTCATCATCTCCCAGGACTACTTCTTCGGACTAAGCCACTGTTATTATTTTTTTAAAAATATTTATTTAATTCCATTTGTTATTATTTTTTAATTTGACCAGAGAGAGACAGGGAGAGAGAAAAAGAGAGAAAGCAAGCCAGGTCTGGGACTCAAAGTGTGGTAGGCTGCGTGGGAGTCCAGCACCTCAACTGTCACACCACCTGCTGGTCCCCAAGCCACTGTTATTTTTCATCTTTTATTTTAATGTAGGCTCCTAGCTAGTGTCCCAGTTTCTGTATTTGATCCCTCCAGTCTGTTCTCAACACACTAGCCAGAGGGATTCTTTTGAAATGCATTATTTAGGAGAGTATTTAAAAAAAATTAAAAAATTAATTTAATCCAGCATTAAAAAATTAATTGCTGAATGAGAACTATATTTGAGAGTAAGTAATTCTGCAAATAAGGAAACAAAAGTCTGGTTTAATTTATAAATGTACTGTGGTTTTTATTTATTCAACATTAAGAGAAAAATAAACATCATAAAGCAAGTGACCCCAAAGAGCACATTTTGTGCATCTCTTCAGCCACTTGGCAGCGTCAGCGGTGTGTTTACTCTGCGCTGATTTTGGTGTGAACATCTCGGCTCTTCACCCGCAGCTTGTTGACCTGGGACTCTGCGATATCCGCCCGCTCCTCGGCCTCCTCCAGCTCATGCTGGAGTTTGCGGAATTTGGATAGATTAGCGTTGGATTGTTCCTCCTGAAGGTAGAGACAAAATTGTGAGAATTAGGCTTTGTGATGTCACTGCATGCATCATCCAACAAGATTATTTCCTCAAATCAAATATGTCCTTAAAGTCTGTTCTCCATATCCAGCTTCAAGTCTGGGCAGAATTTGTCATTTTTTTGGTAGAGGTTTTTGCCTTAGGGCACGTGTACTCGCCAGAAAGAGAGAGAGAGTCAGAGACACTGAGAGAGAAAGTGAGAAATCACCCCCCGGGGGGGTGGCTACAATGCAATCTCTTTTCCTTCATTCTCCTCCCGGGATCTTGGGCATGCATGCACACGTGCCTGGCGTGAGTTTCAAGCCATTGGTTCTGGGACTTGAACTGTGGTTAGTCATGTGGGACTCCAGTGACGTAACCTTTGCACCATCTGCTGGTCCCAGAATTTTTCATTTTAATTACACTTGTTTTTACTTTAAAGAATGAAAGGAGAAACCATTTCAAAGCAGTGGGGACAGTCTCATGCAAGTCCATACATCTGTTCATGATGTATGCTCTGTGGAAAGGAGGTAGAGACCCGAGCACCCTTATAGAGACTGGTAAGTCAATGTAAGGTCAAATTGTAACTTGGGGGAAAGCCCACTTTATTATATATATGTATGTGTATGTATAGTTTGACTCTAGTGTATAGAGAAAGGGGAAAAGTAAGGTTAGGAAGAAAAGCCATCTCTTTTGATTTGACTTACTACATTCATGTCTTTCCTTTTCTTCTGTTCTTCCCCCTTCCTATTTGCTTCCTATCTACCACATGAGTTGGGAAGAATGGGGGCTGGGAGGCAACCAGGAAACCTATAGAAGGGGAAACCTCCAGCATGTCCTCATAGTAGCTACAGCAAATTTGGGGAGAAGAGCCCTAGCTGATGACGTTAATAGTGAGAAGATGTGTCAGTGAGAGTAGGGGATTGATTTTTTTTTTTTTTTTTTTGCCATAGTGTGCTTGTCAAAATCTTGGGCACATGCACACACTCCCAGCATGTTTTTGGTGACTGGGCTGGGGATCCAAACCTGCAGTCAGCCGTGTGACTTCCAGCACTGAGTTTGAGTTGCTACCGACTGTCCCAGAGGCTGGGCTTAAGTTCATATTTATAAGATCGGCCCTCAAAATGTGAGAGGCAGATTCTTACTTTGTTTCTTTTCTCATTAGCACATTCTTTTAAACACATTTTTGCCCTGAAAGCAGTTCACTTCTTTCATCAAGGGCTCGGCGATACTTACCGCCTCCTCAGCTTGTCTCTTGTATGATTTCACCTTCGCCTGCAATTTATCCACCAAGTCCTGCAGCCTGAGGACGTTTTTCCGATCTTCCTCAGTCTGAAAGTTGAAAAACAGTCTGCATTTCACTGGAAGAAAGAAGCCTATGACTGGTGGTAAATGACTGGGTATGATGGTGGGTAGACCTGAGGAAGTCCCGACCCACTCTGAGACTCCTCTCTTGGTATTCAACAGTAGTCACTCTTGCTGCAGGTCTTCTGTGTGCAGGCCCTGGGCCAGGGATGTGCACACATCTTCCCTGGGCCCTACCCCCTGCCCTGGGATGCAGGTGAGCAAACTTGAGGTTTAGAGTGTTAAGTAACTTAAGTTCAAAAAGCAAAAGAGGTTAAAAAAAAAAAAAAGGCAAAAGAGGTCCAACCAGGACTAATACCCAGTTTTTCTGGCTTTAAAACCTGTTTCCTCTGTTTAGGCTACTTTCTTCAGAAAATCTTCCTAACTTAATATAGGTCTGTGAGAAACAACAAATTCCCTTAATCTGAGGGGACTTCAAAAGATAAGTGTTTATTTTGGCACAATTTTAAAAATTTATGCATTTTTTTTTTTTTAGTCACATTTTGCTTGAACTTTTTTTTGTTTTTGTTTTTTGTTTGTTTGTTTGGAGAGGTTTTTGCTATAGGGCGCATGCGCTCGCTCGCCAGACAGACAGAGAGAGAGAGACAGAGAGACAGAAAGGGAGAAATCACCCCCCAGATGTATGGCCACGCTGCAATCCCTTCTCCTCCGTTCTCTTCTTGGGACCTTGGGCATGCACGCACATGTGCCCAGCGTGAATTTTAAGCCACCGGGTCCGGGACGCAAACCGTGGTCGACTACGTGGGAGTCCAGCAACATAGCCATTACGCTAACTGCTGGTCCCCTTGCATGAACTTTTTGGAGACCCCCACATAGGTCCCAAGTTACTGTATGTCCGTGAGTGTCAAGTAGGCACCAGGTTTTCACTTTCTCTGTGGGAAGGAAGTCTGGATATTCTAGAACGCAATTTCCCTTACCTGGTAGGTGAGTTCCTTTACTCTTCTCTCATGTTTCCGTAAACCTTTAACAGCGTCAGCATTACGTTTCTGTTCATTTTCAACCTCTCCTTCGAGCTCACGTACCTGCAGCAAGAAAAGATACATACACGGTCAGGCTTGGTGGATAGTAATTGACCCAGGACCTAGTATGGTATGGGGTGGGTGGCTTCCGCCCCAGGACAAAGATGGGAGCTCACATGGAGGAAGACAGAAGGTAGAGGGAGTGTGCTTTTCCTTTCCCCAATTCAGATTGAGACACTCACTCTGGCCTCCAGTTTCTGGATCTGCTTCTTCCCGCCCTTCAGCGCCAGCTGCTCAGCCTCGTCCAGACGGTGCTGCAGGTCCTTCACCGTCTGCTCCAGGTTCTTCTTCATCCGTTCCAGGTGGGCGCTGGTGTCCTGCTCTTTCTTCAGCTCCTCAGCCATCATGGCCGCCTGATGAGCAAATAGAACAAGAAATGTAATGACACCTGGTGATGGCAGCTGGCACATGTGTGTCAGTAAGACAAAGGCTCATCTTGCTCACGTCTGTGATGGCTTTCTTGGCCTTCTCTTCTGCATTGCGGGACTCTTGAATTACTTCTTCCACTTCACTCTGGAGTTGTGAAACATCATTTTCCAACTTCTTCTTGGTGTTGATGAGGCTGGTGTTCTGTTAAAAACAGTGGAAATTTGCCATATTTGAAGTTTACCCTCTTGGGATTTTACAAATGTCTTACTTGTTGGTTCATGCAAGGGACCAATATTTCACTATAAGTATTTGTTCAGTGCAAAATATTAACCATTTGCAAGCTTTATACACCCTCCTCCCCCTCACTGCCCCAGTGTCCTTCTGATGGATGTGTTAAGACTTCTGAAATTTAAGATTGTATATACTGGTAGGCATTAACTATTTTCTCTTTTAATTATATTTTAACCAGACATCACTGGAATTCTATCTTTAAGAGGTTGGAAACATAGAGTTTTTGTGTGTGTGTGTCCATGTGAAGTGTGTAGGACTGGAAGTTTCTCATTAGAAGGAATCTGTTTGTGAACTTTCATGGTTTGCACCTTTGGGGAATTCTGAATTTATCTTATAAAACCAGTTTCTTAAAATTTCAACCCAATGATTCTTAAAGAGAAGCAATATTGTCTGAGCACATATTTGGTAAGGTTTGGAAGGGCATATTCTTGGTTGTCAAAATGACTACATTTAATGCTCGTGCATCCTGCAGGGCACAGGGTCAGGGAATACTGCAACTTTAAATGCTTAAGTGCTCCTGGCAAGAAACACTGTGAACATTTTGAAATTTTGAAGTGACAGGCATTTTTACTCAGGTAGTCTAAAGTAAAACCATGCTTTTCTTTAAGTAGTTAAAGTATGCCAGAGGGCACACGTGCTTGCCAAAAAAAGACAGAGACATAGCGGGAGAGGGAGAAGGAGAAAGCACCCCCTCCAATGAGGTGCAGTCACACTATAATCCCTTCTCTTTCATTTCTCCATCTTACTATGATTTTGGACACCCATGCATACATGCCTGGCATTTTTCAAGCTGCCAGGGACACATTTCAAATCGCAGTCAGCCAGGCAGGACACAGCTCTCTTAAATCACTAGGCTAAAGACTGTATTTGAAAAAAGATAGTAATACCCCTGTTTTTGAGTAGAAAGTCCAAAAAGAGACTAATAGGAACACCCCCCCCCAAAAAAAAAAATTGTCCATAGTCCTGTCACTCCAAGATAACTAGAAAAAATATTTAAGTGCATACCCCATATCCTTGTGTGTATTTGTGTATGTATGTGTGTGCATGCGTGTGTGTGTGTATACATATATGTACACTTTTTAAAAAGAGATTTTTGCTATATGGTGGGTATGCTCACTGGAAAGACAGAGAGACAGAAAGCAAGAAATCACCCCCCAGGGGAGATGGCCATGCCACAGTCCCTTCTCCATTCTCCTCTTAGGATTTTGGGCATGTATGCACACAAGCCTGGTGTGAGTTTTAAGCTACTGGGTCCAGGACTCAGACTTGGACTGTGGTCAACCTTGTGAAAGTCCAGCCCTTAACCACTACACTACATTTTTAAAATGAGATACTTCCATATTTCAGTTTTGATTCTTAATTTCCTGGTACACCAGCACTTGTTTGATGTGAGGATCTCACCTGTGTGTGGAGGAGCTGGACGCGCTCGCTGGCATCCAGAAGCTCCTGTTCTGCAATTTTCCTGCTCCTCTCCGTCTGCTCCAGGGTGGCCCGCAGCTCCTCCACTTCGGCCGGCATCAGGTTGTCTCTGCGCTCCACAATCGCCAGCTGCTCCTTCAGGTCCTCCTGGCCCCGCAGAGCATCATCCAGGTGGAGCTGAGTTTCCTGTTAGGTAAAAAAAAAAAAAGAAAAAAAAAGAAAAAAAAAAGCCTTGGACATTCTGAAGGGGATGTGAACATCCCAGGAGATGAAGTCTGTAAGTGTACTGGTCCTGGGAACAGGAGACGATATGCTTGTCATTTGAATGCACCTGAGAAAGGTGATGTTACTTAGGGTGAGAGAGAATTATCAGATGATATAAATTCTTGTTCTGTTTCTGCCATTCACTGTCATGTGAGTGTCACTGACACCTATCATTTATGGAGCCTTTTCCATATGCTGCTCCCCATTTTGACATCTGTTCTTTCACTTGGTTTTCACAGTAATCCTGTGAGGTGGGTGGTTTCACTTTCACTTTGAAGAAGAAGAAACAGAGGTTCTGAGAGGTTTAATAACTTGCTCAAAACCGTGCAGCTCATAAGTGACAAAACTAGGGCTCCACCTCAGGTCTGTCTGGTGCCTATGTCTGTGCACTCTCATTTCTTACCTCAACAGCTGGCTTCTGTTTGTTCCTTTTCATTAACATTATTTAAAAATATTATGTTTCATGTGTATTTATTCGGGATGCTCTTATCCTGTCAGCTGTATACTTTGTTAAGAGAAAATAAGGATAGTTTAGCAAGGTATTTTGGGGAAAAAAAGAAGGCTGGTCATTCCCCTGAGTCATTGAAGAGGCTAATGGGGACCCATTTACCTTCAGGATGCCTTGGGTGTTCCTGTAGTTCCTCAAGCTCTCTGCAGCTAAGCGGTTGGCATGGTTCAGCTGGATTTCCATTTCATTGAGATCTCCTTCCATCTTCTTCTTGACTCTTAGAGCGTCATTCCTAAAAATTTTGGAGCGTCTTTCCTGCTTCTAATCTCAGCATCCAGTGTGCTCTGCATCGTCTCTACGACTCGAATGTGGTTTCTCTTCAGCTGGTCGATTTCCTCATCTTTCTCGGCAATTTTCCTATCAACCTCAGACTTGACTTGGTTCAACTCAAGCTGGATACGCAAAATCTTTCCTTCTTCATGTTCAAGAGATGCCTTAACAAGACAGTGACCAATTGATAATGGAAAAGAACTTGAGTATTTGGAATATAATCCCTAATGAGCTGAACTCTTATTAATATCAGTTTATCAGGACCAGCAGTTGGCAAAATGGCTATGTTGCTGGACTCCCATGTAGTCGACCACGGTTCGAGTCCTGGACCTGGTGGCTTAAACTCAGGCCGGGCGTGTGTGCCCAAGATCCCAAGAGGAGAATTGAGGAGAAGGGATTGTGGAGTGACCATCCGCCCCGGTGGGTGATTTCTTGCTTTCTATTTCTTTGTCTCTCTCTGTCTTTCTGGCGAGCACACACGCCCTATAGCAAAAACCTCTCAAAAAAATCAATTTATCTAATTTCATAAAGTATAATATAGTAGTTGTAGGGACCTGCTATGTAAATCATTCTTTCATCATTCAGTCACAGAGTATATAGTTACAGTTTATAGAGGGCAGTTCTGTAATACAGATGTTTTGTACAATACAAATAGTACTTACATTATTACTAACAAAATTATATGATTAAACTTATGTGTAGTTAAAAATGAACTTAGTCTATGTTATAAATTAAAATGGTCACTGGTGATACACCAACCCTTAGTGTAGAAATTGTCAGTTAAAAAATATATGATTTTCTGCTTCCATGATACATGTTTAGTATAGAATGTGGAGACACTACATTAAAAACAAAGAAATACTACCTAGTGTTTCTCAACTCAGAGGTAAACATTTTAATATGGTACATTTTCTCAATCTTTTTACCTTCCGTACATTTTTATATAATAGAAATTACATTGCATATGCAAATTTCTGTCTTGCTTTTCTTTCTTTTTAAAAAAAAATTTGCTAGAGGGTGTGTGCACTTCTGAGACAGAGAGAAAAAGAGAGAGAGAACCCCACTATGGGGAACAGAAAGGCTGCAATCCTTTCTCCTTTATTTCTCCTTCCTCTTGGGCCTTTAGGCATGCACTACACTCATCTGGTGTGTTTTTCAAGCTATTGGGACTCGAATTAGCCAGGTGGGATCCTGCTGCCTTAATTACCACACTCCCCACTGTCCTGTGTCTTGCTTTTAAAAACTAATGTCCATCATAAATATTTCTCCACGATATCTTACTTAAGGGCTATATAAAATCCTATCATATGGCTATTCTATAATTTGTGTATTCTTGTTCTTGTATTGGACATCTTTATCTTAAAGGCTTGCCTCCTTGTAAGATTATTTACTTGGGAAACACTCTTAGGAACAGTATTGATAGGTCAGTGTTTCCACCACAGTACTCTTCGTAAAGGTCTTAAGAATTCAAATTGTCACCGCTCCTCAATAATGTATCCCCCTCACAGTATGTACCTCTGCCTCTTCTAAAGCAGCCTGGATGTCACATTTCTCTTGTTCCACTTGCTTCTTTATTTTCTCCAATTCATGAATTTGCTTCCCTCCCTCTGCAATCTGCTCAGTGAGGTCAGAAATTTCCTCTGTGGATGAACAGGCAGGAAGAAGTGATCAGAAAGGTGGCCACCTGGAAAGGTCCTCTCGGGGCTGTGTGGGATAGGGACAGTCATGAGGACTCACGCTGTAAGTTCTTGTTTTCTCTCTTTAGTGTTTCAAGTTGATCCAGGGATTCCTCATAGGCATTCTTCACCTTGAACAGCTCAGTACTAAGAGACCGGGACTCCTTCTGGGAGGACTCAAGTTCAGCCTGAGTCTCCTCATACTTCTGTTTCCATTCTGATAGGACCTGAAATACAGTAGAATGTCAGCTGCTGCAAGGAGAAAGGAAGACTAAATGAAACATAACATTTAAGCATATGGCCACCTTGTCAAAGTTCCTTTGCTTCTTATCAAGAGCGGCACAGGCAGCGTTAGACCTTTCCACATCGAGCATCAGGTCCTCCACTTCATTCTGAAGCCGTTGCTTTGTCTTCTCAAGGGAAGCA